CAGGTATGCCACATGTTACGATACCATGAGTGGCTATGTTTGAAGTGGCCATCTGTTGACGAAGCATAGATGTAGTAGGCCATACGGGTGCACACATCGTCAAGCGACATCTAGAATAGGTTATGCTTCCTCAATAGCAAGTCATTCATTTGGAAAAGAAGTCCTGAACAGATTCCATCTCTAGTGCCTCTCTACAATTCCCTTTGCCTCTTATCCTTCGTTTGTTACAAAGAATGGAATGAAAACAATTTCTAAATTACTTTACTGTAATACAGTCGACGTACCAACTTTAGGTCTTCAACTGTAGCCTCGACGTCAACATCAAAAGCAGCCTGAAAAGGACTAGAAATGGTCATTGTAAGGGGTGATAGAGTGCTGTGCTACATGTAATGGGCCAAGATGTTACTGATAGCTGGCAACTAGTTCCCCACGGGACTGAATGAAAGTACATTCTGCGCTTACAAATCGTGGGTAGTAGGTTACACTATGAATGTGAAGGCTTCACATTACTCGACAACCCATAAAAAAGCAGAAGAAACGTCGAAACGCTCCATATAAGACCCTTTGTGGCTTCAAGCATTACATCAGCACACGGAGAAAAGGCAGTGAACCTTTTATGACAAACCAAGCACTCACCTCCGTGGATTATGATCCTTGTCATGTGTGGGGTGAATGGGTCTCAGCTGCAATGGCTTGCCACTTTCTCCGGTCAAAAGTGTATGGGAACAGGGCTGGAGGGCAGTCACTTCCTGGTGCCATATACACACTACGTACGCGCTGTCGCAGTAACACGCCTGAACATAGCCAAACGTGCGACTTCTTTGCGCCCTTTCACTTCTCATTGTTCACTACCGCTGAGTACTGTTTTGCTACAGGACTTCGTACTTTTATTAGATGTTCTCTAGGAACATTTCAAGCCAAACATGGAACATAAGAACCAACACGAACAAAAAGAGACACGAAATTAGTCTGACAGGAAGTTCCGTGAAACAAGTAAAAGTCGCTGCATCAAAATAAAGAGAACGATGGCAGTGCTATAAAACAGATAAAACTTTGAAAGACAAAAAAAATCAACACAAAAAATACAAGATAACAGTGCAAAAACGGTGAGAGGAAAAAGTGAAAGACACTTAGCTGCGCGAGACTTCTTGTACAAAACTGGAGCTTTAGAGGAGAACAAATGTTCTTGCTGACTCAACATACTCAGAACCAACATGCTGACAAGGGAAGGATGGTAGGTCGAAGTGGCCATTTGAAATGAAATGTATACCGGCTGAAAGGTCTTCGGACGGGATTACGAAACCGTCTTCCATATCTGCTGCGGACCTCCCAGAAAGAAGTTACGCTTTTTAGGGAGAGAATATTCGCATTCAGTACGAATTGGCGGCGTAAGGCTGATGAGATCGTGGCAGCATGGCCGAGTGGACGTCGTAGGGCTCACGAATGCGTGGTCGAGGGTTTGGATCCTTGATGCGTGTGCTCTTTTGCATTTTTTCGAAAGTGGTCCCTGTGCACTTCAAAGCTATTTTGCATAACTCTTGTGCCTGATAATGTCGTGACGTAATGTGAACTGATGGAGCCATTGCGAACGATTTCATGGAGATCACTTCTGGCTGAAGAGATTGTCATACGAGCCGAAAACTTCCAGCAGGTGCGAAACCACTTTGGGATAGACATCATTCAACACTATGTGAGTGATGAATGAAGGTTTTGCCCATCGCGATCTCCAGCATGATTGCCACATCAACGCCACTTCATATGAAAGCATTTTCCCACTATACTCATCTTCGCGCACAACTTCGTGCGGCTTCGGATTCGGTTTCCAGTCATGTCATTTGGAGAATAAAGTCATTTTCAGGGCAAAATCATTCGTTGGAATGCACTTTTGTTGTGTATGCTTTTCAAATCAAAGAAAGAAGAAGTCAACAGCCAGAAAATGTTCTCCATGGAATCCTTCGCAATGGCTCACACTAATTCAGAAAAACGACATCATAGTGCATAAGGGTTACGCAAAATCTCTAAAGTGCACAGGGACCACTTTCGAAAAAATGCAAAAGAGCACACGCATCAAGGATCCAAACCCTCGACCACGCATCCGTGAGCCCTACGACGTATCCACTCGGCCATGCTGCCACGATCTCGTCAGCCTTACGCCGCCAATTCGTAGTGATTCTCCCCTAAAAAGCTCCGTAACTTCTTTCTGGGAGGTCCGCAGCAGATATGGAAGACGGTTTCGTAATTCCCGTCCGAAGACCTTTCAGCCGGTATACATTTCATTTCAAATGGCCACTTCGACCTACCATCCTTCCCGTGTGAGTAAAGAAAAGGGTACGGAGCGAAGACTTGGCATTTTTAACGCGAATGTTGGTAAGCCCCCTAGTAGATGAGACATGAAAAGAAAAAACCTTGTCAGTTGTGGACACCACTAAACCCTGTAACATGTTGGAAACGGTGGCTGAATTGTTTCTTGATCTTTATTTAGAAATGAAACCTAGGTTTATTTCAAACCAGTCGGATCGCCCAGCTGTCGCCGGGCGCTCCTCCTTCTGTGACATGGCCCGGCTTCGCCGGGCCATGCGGATTTGCCGCGTGCTAAGTTACGGATCGTTGACCAACCACACTGTTCAAAGGAATGTTCTGCATCAGCCAAGAACTGAAAAGTAGCGCCCGTCCCGTCAAGACGCAGAAGCAGCAGCAGCGCCCCGCATCACAGAAGGAGGAGAGCCGGCCTTAGCCAGCGATCCGACTGGTACGTTCATAACCTACACGGGAATATTGCAGCCTGTTAGGTTAGCCGCTGAAGCAGCCTATGATTCATGCATTCTGTCCTCTTAAAGCGTCTTGCTTTGGAATGCACTCCCGCATTCAGCAGTGGAACCTTTAAATGGCCCTCACTAAGGTTGTTGATGGAAGATAATTGTGGTAAGAGTGATAAGTCAATTGCTGCTGTTCATAACATCTCTGTAAACAAACCCCATGCATTTGGAATAGAGCTAGCTTAGCGGTCGTACATGATGTCGTTACTAATAAGCAGTGAGGAATGAGTTCTGTTGGAATCATTGAGATCGTTATACTTGAGTCATATCGATCGCATTGTTGTTGTGAGCGGTGAAGCGGATTTTCCCATGTTACCTTGTCACTTTCAGCTCCTATCACTTCCGTCACCCGCCAATAATATTCCCGTCCCGTATCACTATCATATCACCCTATATCACCTCTCGGATCCGAGGTCCCACTGTTGCTGTAACCTGCGTTACGAATTTGATGACCCTTCCCTTCCGAGGCCCCTTATCGGATCTTATCAACTGTTATCACTTTCTGTCACCCGCCAATAATGTTCCCGTCCCACACCCTATATCACCTCTCGGATCCAAGGTCCCACTGTTGCTGTAACCTGCGTTACGAATTTGATGACCCTCCCCTTCCGAGGCCCCTTATCGGATCTTATCAACTGTTATCACTTTCTGTCACCCGCCAATAATGTCCCACCCCCCCCCTATATCACTTCTTGGAACCAACGTTCCACGCTCACTGCGACGGGTGCTATGAATTTCGTGACAGACAGACGGACACACACACACACACACACACACACACACACACACTGACAGACATACTTAGTGAATTATATTTCAAACCAGTCGGATCGCCCAGCTGTCGCCGGGCCCTCGCCGGGTGGGCGCGGATTTGCTACGTGCTAAGTTTCGGATCGTTGACCAACCACACTGAAGAATCAGAGGAATGTTCTGCATCAGCCAAGAACTGAAAAGCAGCGCCCGTTTTGTCAAGACGCAGAAGCAGCAGCAGCGCCCGCCGCATAAGGAGCGCCGGCGTTAGCGAGCGATCCGACTGGTACGTTCATAACCTACATAGACGGGAATAGAGCAGCCTGTTAGATCAGCCGCTGAAGCATCGTACTGATTCATGCATCCCCCCCCCTCTTAAAGCGTCTTGCTTTGGAATGCACTCCCGCATTCAGCAGTGGAACGCTTTGAATGGCCCTCACTGAGGTTGTTGATGGAAGATAGTTCTGATAAGAGTGATTGAGTCAAGTTGCTGCTGTTCATAACATCTCTGTAAACAAACCCCATGCATTTGGAATAGAGCTAGCTTAGCGGTCGTACATGATCCGTACTGATGAGCAGTGAGGAATGAGTTCTGTTGGAATCATTGAGATCATATCGATCGCATTGTTGTTGTGAGCGGTGAAGCGGATTTTCCCATGTTAACTTGTCACTTTCAGCTCCTATAACATCCGTCACCCGCCAATAATATTCCCGTCCCATATCACTATCATATCACCCTAAATCACTTCTCGAAATCACGCTCCCACCGTTGCTGTAACCTGCGTTACGTATTTGGTGATCATCCTCTTCCGAGACCCCTTATCGGATCTTATCAACTGTTATCACTTTCTGTCACCCGCCAATAATGTTCCCGTCCCACACCCTATATCACCTCTCGGATCCAAGGTCCCACTGTTGCCGTAACCTGCGTTACGAATTTGGTGATCCACCCCTTCCGAGACCCCTTATCGGATCTTATCAACTGTTATCACTTTCTGTCACCCGCCAATAATGTTCCCGTCCCACACCCTATATCACCTCTCGGATCCAAGGTCCCACTGTTGCCGTAACCTGCGTTACGTAATTTGGTGATCCTCTCCTTCCGACCCCTTATCGGATCTTATCAACTGTTATCACTTTCTGTCACCCGCCAATAATGTTCCCGTCCCATCCCTATATCACTTCTTGGAACCAACGTGCCACGCTTACTGCGACGCGTGCTATGAATTTCGTGACAGACAGACGGACGCACACACACACACACACACACTGACAGACATACTTAGTGAATTATATATAGTAGGATGATGACACGTGGAATCTTTTTACAGGTGTACTCTATCGCTCTTATAAAGGCTTTTTAGTGAAATTGTTTTGCACACCGCTCGATAGATTAAGACCGTTCGATTGATTAAAAAAGTTTTGTCTTGTAACGAGAGAAAATACATGTCCCGTATTCTATAACTGGTCTGACATAGTTTTCATAAGCCCTCATCGAAATGGACGGAACTTTAGTACTAAGTACTAATAAGTGAGATGAAAAGCCTTGCTCAGCCACAGCAGCGAATTTTAGGCAACGGGAATCAAGCTGAGGTTGTTATTAACAGTGAAGCCTTGTTTCAAAAACTTCCTCAATGGGAGATCGTGTTTACCTAGGTACATTGTTTTGGTGTTCTTGAGACAGTTAGGAAGGCCCCAGCTGACAGACCAAGCATGAACAATATGAACCCCCCTTTGAATGGCGGAGAAATCACTGGAAGACCTAATCGCCTTATCGATCTTGATATCTTGGCAAACATCCGACAAAAGGCACAGTGACCGTGGTCCAAAAAGGGTAAAGCAAATGTGTAAATGTTGAAAAGGAAGGCGGACAACCTCCACTTAGCGAGACACCGCCCGTAGAGTGACCATAGAAAAACAAATATGTATTCATCAGTTCTGACTTGAAGTGTTCGTGAGGTAGGAAAAGCTTCAACCCAGTGGATAATGCTACAGTGAATGACCACACACTCTAATCTACGCACCAACGTACTATGACAAACTTTTTTCAAAAACTTTTGTAAAGGTGAAACAGAGAACATCCATACTAGACTTATCATCAAGAGCACTAGCCCAGTTATCCATGGAAAAACCATTTAAGGTACACTGGGCCTACGCTTCTGGAGCCATGTTGAGACTACTGAAAGTAGCTACCATCAAAATGTTCAACAATCGCATCCTCAATTACTTTCTCGAATAGTCTACTGAAAACAAATGTTGTGCTTGTTGGCCTCTAAATCTAAGGTCTGCCACAAGGAGGTTCTTCAGGAACTGAGGGCCATTAGAGTTTTGACCTCATAAGTATTTCAAAGTAAAGCAAGTACCTATTCAACAAAAGTAGGGGAAGTGTAGTTGCAGGGAGCAACATCTGACGGCTAGAGAACCATCAGTCCTCATAAGTGCAGAAAGTGTTTTGGAGATGAATTCCAGCTTTAATGTACTTGAATAGAGAAGAACTGGCGATTCAACAACTTTTTCTCAACTGCGCAGTTGTACTCATGAAGACTTTTGTGAAACTTCAAGGATTAAGCTAACATGATTTCCAATCATGCAGATCGATGGATTTCACAGCTTTTCTATAATTTTATAGGTAGAAACGTTCTGATCAAAATGGAGTGCAGATGAGAAGGCAACTTCATAAATGAAACTGGAACTCTTTTCTGAGGAACAAGCGTGTGTATGCAGTGCCTAAGAACAGATAGGAAAAGCTCACACATCTCATTCATGTCCCTGCAGCCGCTAAAAGACCCTAACCAGTCAACGTTTGACAGATATGGAAACACTTCCGAGTAATTGCAATTCTTGATATCTCTTTTGAGCACGAATTTCTGGGCTAAGGAAACAGGCCGGATCTTGATCGACTTTTCTATACAGATTCTATACAGGGGGCAGATTTGGCTGAAAGTTGGGTTCAGGGGTAATTCGACCTGCTGAACACGAATATCACATCCACTTGGCCTGAAAGTGCTTGGCGCCGGCGCCAAAAACTCGAAATCACCGAATTCGCTGAAAACTTGTCCCCAGGGGTAGTTTGACCTCCTGAACACGAATATGCATCCGCTTGGCCTGAAACGGCCTGACGCCCGCGCCACAAGCGGCCGGCGGCCAATTTGGCGCCAACACCTTTTCACCGATTCGGCGTATATCGAGGTTACTTGGTGTACTGATTACGAGTATGACATCGATTTATTATCTATCACTCATGAACACATGAATAACTTGATATGTGGCCCTAAAGAGGGCCGTTGGGTTGCTGTACGCAAGATGTTATACCCGTTTAAAAAGGGTAGAGCGCTGCCACCTGGTCCCAGAAATTGAAGAGTGCCTCGCTTCGTCCGAACTGTTTCTTCCACAGGAACTCGCACAGGTAATCCTCATAGCGTGACGTGTTAATTCCATAGCGCCGCTTACCTATCTGCTTGTATTTCTGCCAGAGTGACTCGACGTTCTGCGTGTGTGCTCCACTCTGCGGGTCTACGAAATTCAGCCGGTGGTTTACTGTGAGATGCCTATACGCTTGTGGAAGCATTGAAATCTGATTGGCTCTCCAGCTGTCGCTAATTATGCTAGTACCAGGTCGAATGTTCTTCATTTAGCCGCAGGAGAGTTCGAGCGTCTCTCCTTCGGACCAATCGAAGAAAAGCACGTCCGCTCCCTCTTTCGATTCCACCAAAGAGCCACTGGTGTCTTGGTGACCAGTGTTTCGTCGACCTCCACGGTACATCCAAGTCCCCCATGACAGGTGACTTCCTCCTGAAGTACTTCACGCATATGTTGGAGTTGCTCCCACGGAGCTGCACTGTGATGGCGATCTCGAGCTCATATGCCTTGTCGTTCACCTTACCCATGTCGCGCAGCCAGAAATAAGACAGCGCAAACACGCTGGACTCGGGTAGGTTAGACTTGGCAAAAAAGGAGCCTTTCCGCGCTGGCACATAGATCTTATTTTCGCCAGAGCGGCACGTCCTACGGTTGCACACCCAACCATTGTCGTGCAGGTAGTTCTTCAGGACCATAGATCCTTGACAGAGTGGGCACAATGGCGTGGACAGCAGCCCCATGGATCGCAGCCATTCCTGGAACTGGAGGTGGTCCATCTGCAGCTTCTCGTACACTTCCTTCAAGGAAAAGCCCATCAGATTCTCCTAACCTTTGCGGTGCATCAGTGCATTAGAAGCCATATCTTTGCGTTCACAATCCGTGAAATGACTTCACAGATGAACATGCAGCTTCCCTACACCTGGCTGCTTCCAACCGTGGGAAAGTACCGTCCTCGCTATTCCCACGTCCTGACTTCCTCCAACCGTGAGAAAGTGCCACGTTCAAAAAGCATTTCCCACGACCCAGTCGCTTCCGACCGTAGGAAGGCTTCTCAACCGAAGCCTCAGAAGCTGGCCTTTCAAAATCTCAATCCGTTTATTGGGATTGCAATAGCATCACTCCGACGGCATATGGCACCAGCGCCCAAAACTAAGGCGAAATTCGTGATTAAGACATCAAACTACCCCACTATGTGAGCTTTCATCGAATTTGGTGAGAAAGGTGTCGGCGCCAAATTAGCGCCGACACCTTTCTCACCAAATTCAATGAAAACAAACGGGGAAGCGGATGTCATATTCGTGTTCAGGAGATCAATCTACCCCTAGGGACAAGTTTTCAGCGAATTCGGTGATATCGAGTTTTTGGCTCCAAGCACTTTGAGGCCAAGTGGATGTGATATTCGTGTTCAGGAGGTCGAATTACCCCTAGAACCCAACTTTCAGCCAAATCTGCCCCGAAAAAGTCGATCAAGATCCGGCCTTTTTCCGGAAATTGGGGTAGTAATAGTTGAATAGTGCCAATTTCTAATCCACATGGTCACCTAGATCTCAATTCTTGATGATACCTTCTTTGTTACAGAGAATCAGATCAAGCAGGCTATGCTTCATGAATAGAAGTCAACAGACAAAGTGATCATAACTGTGAATGAAAACCGTGCTCAAAAAAGTGCAATAGCGCGCGGAACTATTAAAGGGCTCTGTGGACAATAATGTTAGAAAGACTGAAATCTCCTTTTAGGAGGCAAGATGTATGGCACGCGAAAAGACACTTCACACATTTCGTTATTCAATCAATCTTATCAGAGTTGTACCCGGGAGCTCTGCAACACATAATTAAGCGATAGGAAGTATTAGAGGCACAGATATTAAAATCTCGTATCTATTCGCTAATTCCGAGGAAATAATGATGGGAAACAAGTAGGTCCGATAAGTGAGGCCACATTTCTCCATTCTTCTCTTTTCGTCACACCTCATTATAACATAGCTAGAACAGAGGTCACCTAAACAGTGTCAAACAAATTCTTCGAAAATCCACGTCTCCGCGGTAGCAACATCCTCCAACTCGAATTTTAGCAAGCAAGTACGATAAAGCAGAAGCATTCATTGAAAGAGAGCGAATATTGGTTACAAGGCAAGAAATCTCGTGCCAAGGAACAGCTAATTGTTTTCTGAACCCATCCTGGCACTACTGAGGGAGTGAGAGGTAAAATTTATGGGAGAGCGGTGATAGCGCCACCAGTAACAGTGTTGGATGGCACATCGCCGGAAATTCTCTTCTTCTCCGAACGCAGAGCTCGAATACGATCCCTTTCAGATTTCGGGAACGAAGGACGAATGGTAATTCCCGGTACCGGGAAGGTTTTCAGCCTCGGAGCCCTATCAAGGATTACACGTTTGAAATAAGAGTTAGGAAGAACGAGTTTTATCAAGCGGGGGTGCCTTTCACTTGGCTTACCTAGTCTGTAAAAGGCGATTGGTGAACAATCAATCGCTAGAAATGAAAACACTCCTCGAATACAGTCGAAATCATGAGATGTACGATTAAGTGAACAAGGATCTTTACTTTCTTTAATACCAGAAACAACCACAGAACGCAGCAATTCCCTATCCTCACAACAAGGACAAGCCCTATTAGAATCAGGAACAGTATTTGAAATAGGAGAGTTGGACTTGCTATTAACGAGTGACTGTTTCAAAGCTTCAACTTCCCTCAGAAGGCGGTGCTTTTCGGCTACTTCCTCGCTAAGACGTTGCTCTAGTTCCCGGTTTCTTTCCAGCAGATGCTCGACGGAAGAAACATTATCCATACGATGACCGAGGATAGTTTTGATATGTGCTGGCACTTCGTGATCATTGATAACGAGGTCAGCGGCCTCACAGAGCGCACTCGAGTCCGTGCCAGGCGAATCAGTTTGGTTCCTCTCAACAGCCTGAATCAAAGTGGAAGAGCGGGAGTATCCACATGTGAAGCGAGATCCAAAATGAGAGATCCAGTGCGCCATTAGAGGTGGCAATCAGCACGAAGACGATAGATCCCTGACACCACGATCACAGCTTACCCACCCGGTGCACAGGACGATCAGTAAAAACCCCGGTATCGATGGAAATGTTCTACACTGAGAATAGCGCGGCCGGTGTATGAAGACGGCACCGGGTGTCAGTACCCTCCAAACCCATCCCGTGCGCTTTTGAGCGGAGAAAGTGGCTTGCTACTGCAATTGCGAATCCGTCCCCCTCGTGCATGGAGGACGGTCTCGAAAGTGAGTGAACAGTTCGTCTTCAAGAAAGAAACAGGTGACGTTTTGGCGAGAGGGCACACAGACGAGCGAGACCGCACCGCATAACAGGGAAAAAGGAACGGTAAAAGCGTAGACGACATTCAAGGCGGAGTCCTATAAACGTGGCAGAGCCATGACGTACTTACCAAAGCTTTCGAGCGGTGACAGCTGCACATCCTTTGCGATTGACCACACCACCTTGCACAAGAGCTCGTGTCAGGGGAATGCGCCTTTCAACACTGAACCCAGCCCCGCAATGCGACGCAGGCTGCCTCATAAAAAAGTGTAAGATTAAGCCGTACCGTAGTAAAACGGGTGAGCTCACCGCTCAACGGTGGCACAGTTATGGCGCAGCTTTTAGGACGTCAAACTACTAATCGTTCACAACTATCCATAGGTCTATACTTTCACCGAGAATGGTATTCGAAGTTGCCAAGTACGGCTCGTCTAGATTACTTTAGCAATATATTCATAACAGACATCTGCTTATCCCTGCTCTTCAGCAAGTCAATGCTGCTGTACTTTCGAAGTTTTAGAGCGTTACGACGGCACCCCGAAAACGACGCTGGTTATTGGAAGCTCAAAAGTGTGATGTCGCGACCAGCTATGTCGGAATAGTCTGTGCACGAGTGAGGTGGTCCATTCCATAACCGAAAAGGCTAAGCCATTTCCATCATTCAAAGAAGTGTAGTGGATCGTAACTGATGAGGTTCATCTACAGTATTGAGACACTGGCATCCACTAAAAGTGCCGTGGAACCTCCTTCGTCTGCGCACTCTCTCGTCTTTGTGCTGTCTCCCGTCAGCACGCTCGATGTCCCTTCACCGTGTGCTCCCGCAGTGGGCAGCACAAGAAGAGCATTACTTGGGGAGAGAAAGGTAGGTAAATTGGTTCGTTTGCTTTTTAGTTCTTGAGAAGCTGATTGGCACCTATAACGCATCCTCATAAACGAACACCCCCCTAACTACAACAGAATACAGCGGACGTCAATTTCGTTAGTTCAGACAGGACAGGGAGAAAATAAACAATACCTCATCAGGTTCACCGGCAACAACACCGTTCTGCGTTGTATCTCCATGCACCTGCAATGAGACTTCTCAGAGAGTTCATGGAAACCAAAAAAAAATGACAGATTACGCAGTTTTCGTTTTTCATGGAAAACTAAAGACTCGAGTTACCGTGTAAGTTTCGCCGTATTTACTGGAATTCAACTTTCTTTCTGTGGATAAAGGTACTTTTGATAGTGTTCTAGCACCTAACCGGAGCGATCACTTCATAGTGAGGTTGGCGAAACCCAAAAGACCTTAGCTCGAATCTGAAATGGCTTGGGCAGAAGTGCTTTACTCGGACATACAACGACTTCGTGCGGAAAACAACTATCAGTCGGAGGGAGCAATATTTGGGCTATACCGCCAGTGAGGAGCCATTCAGGTATATTGCACAAGGTTCAATTTGACCCTTTCCGCAAGGCTGCCGTCCTATCATGTTGAAAGCGGACTGTGCGGCCAAATGCTCATCTCCGTTCAACGACTGGCTTACGATCTCACGCTGCTAGATGGGTGGAACGACCACAACAAGCTCATTCATCCAGCAGTTCCACGAGCAGCATCTCTCTAAACCTGAGCGCAGAGAGACGTCCATATCTTACACTGCCCTTAAAGACAGTTGACAAGATAAATTTGGCGCCTTTCCCAAGAAAGTACCCCTATAGCGCCCTGTCACGCTCCCACAAATCCTATCCGCGGATTAATCGTGGCGCGGGAGTGGTGGCTTCGGCCAGAACGCGAAGGGTGCCTCCTGAGGATAAAAGAATTGCAGAACTTCACTCATGAGGTTGATCTCTCAAACTCTGCACAATAATGATCAATGGACTTTTCAAGCATTCCGATCAGAGGTTGCCCTAGGTTGCCCACCGTAATGGGCAAACTAGGACGTCCATTGCCATGGAAATACAAGCTATGAAGTCCTCCGTGAAGGACAAATACAAGACCATA